ATTATCTTCTATTTGTTCAATTACGGTTGTCTGCATTTATCCCCCCCACCCCCAGCCAAACTCACCTCACTCCCTTGCTTCCACCCCCACCCCTTGGTTTCGTCCATGCATCCTTTGTAGTTGTTCCTGAAAACCCTTCCCCCTGTGTTGGCAGTTTTTAATATCCTGCCTATCAAAAAGTCATCCAAGCCCACCTCCTATTTTCTACCCACTATTGGGTAAACTTTTATGGATCTGGCTTCTGAGTATTAGTTGAGAATCTATGCAAACCCAGAGGCCACAGCGAGATTGTTCTGGAAAGTTGTGGTCCCCTTTGCCTCCCTGAGCCCCCATTCCAGTCTCTGTCTTGTCTTTCAGCAGTCCTTGAACATCAGGCCCCAAATAAATGCCAGACTTCAAACCCAGCCAGGGCGCTGGTCCCAGGGCTGCTTCTGTGGCCTGGGGGTCAGCTACTGATATGCATTTATGCCCTCTTTCTGAGGATGATGAGAAAGCCTGTCTTCTTTTCTCCTTCCTCATCAACCACACACATAACACACAACACACACCAGCCTAAATTCCTTGTTCTTCCTTACTAATTTTGGCCTTCTCCATCAAGATTTTTTAACATTATTTTCTGTATCTATATTGAAAAGACACATAGTTTCTTTTTTAACATAAACATTTCTTTTAATGTTGAATATGCTTTAACCCCCCTCCAGGATATCTTCATATTCCTCAGCCCTGCCAGACTAAGACCCAGTGCTCCAGCCCCTTATTCATTGAGGATTCATTTACTTACATGGGCACAGACATCTCTTCCCTTATACTGTCCTGACTTTCTCAGAAACCTCAGCCCTGCACTGTTAAATGTACCCTAGACATTTTTTGTTTGAGTAATTTCTCTGTTTCTTCAACTCATCATGTCTAAGACACAGAAGTCATTATTGCCCTCACCCCAAATCCATCTCCCTATACCACTCCATCTTCCCATTTTCTACAATTCTTCACTTAGTCTCCCATTTGCTCCTCCCCTAAAGTATCTCCTCTGTCACACAAAGCTTATTGAATCATCTTTTTCCCTTTTCCACCCTGCTGCCATAATATTACTTTAGGTCCTTGTCTGTGAGTGATCTTTCTGCCTCCTTCTCTTTTCCCTTGAATTCCTCCTGTCCACATCATTGCCCAGACAATCTTCCCCAGCATCATTTTTCTGGGTTATTCTTCTGCTCATGAACCCTCAGTGTCTCCCATCAGCTATAAGATCAAGTCCATTTTCCTTAGCCTTAAAACTCAAGATGTCTATACAATGGCTCCATCTATTCTCTCATCCTTAAGCTCACCTTTTACTTCTTTCCTTTTCAAAAAAGATTTTATTTATTTATTTTTAGATAGACGGGAAGGGAGAAAGAGAGGGACAGAAACATCATTATGTGGTTGTCTCTCATGTACCCCAACTGGGGACCTGGTCTGCAACCCACACATGTGCCCTGACTGGGTATCGAACCAGTGATCCTTTGGTTCACAGGCCGGCACTCAATGAACTGAACCACACCAGTCAGGGCTTACTTCTTTCTTATATGAACTATTTATATGTGTTCATACCTACCATGTGCCTGGCAGTGTCTTAGGTGCTTCTGGAAAGTTGGACAGGAAAGTTCTTACAAGTGTACTTTGTGATCTTGGCAATAATTTTCCATCTATCCAAAGCCTAAGCCATTATTCAAACCCTACTACAATTTCACTTTCCTCCAGAGACCTTTTCTTATGTGCAGGCCTTGAATATATTCATTGATTTAACCCTCAAAACAACCTATGGATTTGGTATTATTATTATCCAAATTCTACAGATAGAAAAATCAAGGCACAGAGATTTTTAACAACTTCCCTAGTGCCAAAAGCTGGAAAGTAATAAAGGTGGGAGTCAGATCTGGCTCTGAAGTCCTGGGTTTTAACCCTTGCACTTCACTCTCATGTAGCAGGTTATATATCTGGTGCATGTTTGTATGAATATAAACACACATGCCCTCCCATCGAGGCTCTAAAGCCCTAAAGGTCAGTGACCATGTACCATACTAAGCTTGTATCCCTACTACTTGGCCCAATCTTTGCATTTAGTAGCTACTTGAATCTTTTGGTTGATTGATTGTTGTGTTTGCATTCACTTTTGGGGCCTCAGATTTTTAGCAGCAAGTAGGAGTGTTTTGAGGTACAAGGGTCCTGGCAATAGAATTTCAGAAAAGATCTGGAGTCTCAGGAATTCTTGGTTTCCGGTTCTTAACTCTGCAGGCTGTGAGGATACATTTGTACAAGAGAAGATACTGATATAAAAGCTCTTGAAAGTGGAATAAAATTCCCTTCTCAAAAAGCAAAATAAAAAACTCAAGCCATATTATGTTTACTTAGTTTCTCTGCTTCCTCATGATGTTTTTTTTAAACATATTACTGTTCATGTCTTTTTTTTTGCTTTATTGCCTACAACACCAAGGTTTAAACATCAGGATCTCAGATCTGCATTCTTGGCCTAATATTTCTATTTAGGATTTTATAAGTTGAATAATATAAACATTTTATTTGAGTTGCAATGCTGCAGCTACATATGTAGCTTAATAAAACCTGCTAAGTACATATTTAAATTTTAAAGACACAGGTGGTGGGTATTTGCATTTTAAAGGTATTCTTCCTTTTACACAAAGATCCACTGCAGAGTTCCATTAAATATCCAATACATCTTACTGCATTTATCATACAGTTTACTTTACCAAAATTTGATTGATACACCACTCTAGAGGGTAGCTCTTGAGTTCTCGTAAACATGGGAATCACATGGGCAACTTGTTTCAAACCCACGTCTTTTCCCCAACTTGTTCCCAAGATTCCAATTCATTAGATTTGGGGTGAGGCCCATCATTGTCAATAAGCACCCTCATGTGGCTGATGTGGGTGGTCAGTAAAATACACTCTGGGAAATACTGCTTTAGAGGAACACATAAAGGGGTATTCTCCAGGGGCTTTGAATACCCTCTGACTTCCAAGTATCCTGCTTACTCTTCATTGGGTAAATTTTTGAAGTATCTATTTGGGTCAGATAAAGATTAATCCACACTGTTTCTACTTACTCCTTCTCCCAGCTGCCAAACGTCTTTAATCACAGGTGTAAAATGTTTGTAGTTTAATTTTTAAATTAAATAAGTTTAAATCCCCCCAGTTTCATTGAGATACGAGTGACATATAACACTATATAAGTTTAAGGTGTACAATGTATTGATTGTACACATTTATATATAGCACAATGATTACCACCACATCATTAGCCAATGCCTCCGTCCCATCCTATAAATAAGATTTCTTTTTGTGATGAGAACATGTAAGAGCTGCTCTCTTAGCAAGTTTCAAGTATGTAATAAAGTATTACTCTCCTTACCTTTCTAGCCCTCTATGTTACTCGTAGGTATGTCCCTGGATCTTCTTTATTCTCATTTCTTAATGTTTTAAACCCTCTTGTGGACAGTCACCTCCTGAATTCACACACCTATTCTGTTCCAGTGTACTGTTACACATACCGCACCTACCAGCCCCAGCCCCTGCCCCTTAGTGTTCTTCATCTGGATGCTGAAGGCTGTGGCTGGTCCAGGAATATCAGGCATTTTGAAAGAGTGACTTCTGCCGACATTTCTCTTAGCCAAATCTAGGGCTCATTGTTCTCTCCCACTACTATCCCCTCTTAAAAAAAAAGGAAGACCAAAAGTTAATTTTTTAACAAAATAAATCATGAGAATGACTTGCTTTGGCTGAACCCTTTCTTCCATCAGTATTAATCCTAGGCTTTGAGAAATGAATGCCAGAAATATACATTTAAAGTATAATTATAGTTTAATAAAATTTGTTTAAAAGATAGGCTCTGTGAGATTTATGGCATATGTGTCTATCTACATATTTAATATATCTTTGATCCTTTAAAAGTCAGTTGCTTGGCCCATATTTTGCCTCTGATTACTTTTCCAAATCACTAGTAATCTCAAAAACATTGAGAGATTTCCATACTTTAGATATTTTTCTCCTGTATTAATCCCTTATATCCCCAAATTTCACTCTGGGAAAAGGTTCTCTAGGGTGATTTGGATTTTCTCAATTATCCCCTGTAATAGTAAGAGCAATGGAAGGGCAAATGACTGGTGCACTTGGTTACCAGTTGGAAATCTTTTTAGTAGAGTTATCAGGGCTTATACTTCCCTTGAAGTAATGAGCTCTTAATAACCTTGTGTGATTTCCATAAGAACATAGCCAGAGGTTGTGCTTTTGTTTATTGGCATTGTGGTTTTTTTTCTTTAACCCATTCAGTGCCGGGCTGGGCCTCCCTGATCAAGGGTGTGGGACTTTCTAGGAAAAGAGGGTGACTGAAAAGAGGACAGGTGTAGTGTCGCTGAGTTAAGAGGGTGACAGAGGAAACAGTTTCATGTTGTCTGTGTAACTCAGGCACACAGGAGCCCATCTGGTGTATTCAGTGTCATTCACTCTTTGTGGGAGAGTACTGTAGCTTGAAGAAAAACTAAAAGCAGGATAGTTATCTGTGGATGGTGAGATTACAACTAATTTTTTTCTTCTCTGAATTTTACGAAGTTTCTACAGTGATCATGTATTACTATTAAAAGCAATAAAAAAAGAAAGAAACCTATTTTGTCTGGCACTTTGATTCTTTTTCCCAAGGGGCCTCACTGGTAATAGATTTGTCTCCAGTCTTACCTATGGCAGAGAACAAGGGTGGAAGTCCTCACAATGAGGCCCAGAGCGGGTCAGCAAACAAAACCCTGTCCTAGACTTACTTGAGAGTTGGCCTTTCTGTGCCCAGCGGGAAGGCAGGTGGCAGTGCTTCTGCATGGTCCTGAGTACATGTGTGCTCTGCCACTCCTCCTTCCACTCAAGAATTTAGAGAAGATGGCATTGCATTCAGAATTCTAACTTTGTCTTCTTTCTTTTCCCCTTCTCCTTCCCCTCTCCTCCTCCCCCTTTCCTTCCTCAAGGCCTCTCCCACCTCATGATGAGTGAACAAGGTAGGTGTGTTTTGCTTGTGGTGCTCCAGCTGCCCAAGTTGCTTGCCTTCGTGTCTATGGCTGGTGGCTCAGACCCTTATCATCGCTGGCAGGCCATTTGCTGCCTGTTCCTCCTGTCGTGGTGGAGCCTGACGGCAGAGCCACTCTGTGGTGGGGGCACCAGTCCCAATGCATCATGGTTTCCCGCCCCCATCATCTCCTTGGCTTTTCCATTCCGTGCCATTTGTCATTAGGGCGCTGGCCCTGCAGGGCTGTCTCCAAGAGGGAAGCATGAAACAAGGCATGACGGTGTCGATAATGGGGGTGAATGAAGCCCATTGCAAAGCAATAGAGCGGTTAACTTCCTCCTGCTCCTCCCCACACCCCATGCTGGGGTTGAGGGAGAGGAGCTGGGCTTCTCCCTGAATGTCACTCTGAGTACCGCCGTTTGCTTTTCGCCTTCCCCTCCATCCCCACTGCCCTTTGTAATGACTTTCAGTCCCTCGGGTGAATGGAAGCCCTTGGGGGCTGACTGTTTTCAGTTTTGTACAAAAGCAAAAACCACCAAGAGAACATGCTAATGTCCTCATGGCAGGATTCTAACTCATTATACACCCTGAAGAAAACGGCATATAAAGATCTGTAAATTCAGCATCTGCAACCTAAAATATTCAAATATGCGGGGAATGAACTGTGCAGGAAATTCAGCTCAGCTAAGCACTGGGTGGGCTGTGAATGAAGCTTTTTTCTTCTAAATAAACATTTTCCACATTATCAGCCTAAATCAGGATTTGAGAATGAAGCCCACTTAAAATTGTCTTTTCCTTCACTGTTCAATCGCTACTATTGTGTTCCTTCTGAGCCTGGGGGTGATTGCAAGATTGGGCTACCTGCCTTGCCCGGACATGAAAGGATGTACTTTAATTTCTCTTGTCTGTTTTCTTTTTTTTTCAAAGTACACACAGGACTCAGTGCCTCTTTTGGAGGACCAAAGAAAAGGGGAAGGAAAGGTAGTTCCTTGTTTTCCTCTCTTGAGAGAGGTGAGGTAGCATTGAAAGGCTTCCCCGCTCCCCCCTACACCCTTATACTGGATCTAACAGATAGTGTTGTCACAAAGGGAAATATGATCAGATTAAGGAAACACCTAATGCTGAGAGAAATTTGTTTATGACACCCAGGTAGCTGCGGAGGTGGACAGTGGAAGGCATCCTAAGTTGATAAGGCAGGGTAAGAAGGAAGCACACTTTTCCGATAGAAGTGAATCCTCTAGACCTGAGCCAAGATCCACGATGTGGACCCCAGACGTTTCAATGATGACACTGTCTGGTATAGAGCAGATGTCAAAGGATAGAGCTGGAGGGAGGATGTCAGCACATTTTCCAGTATGAGACAGAGCTCTGGAACAGGCTGGGACGAGGCCTCCCTATTCTTCTTGCAGGTGAAATATCTGCCTATGGCAGATAACTATGAAGTGGATGTGAGTAGGGGACAACACACTGGGGTTGACCTAGTAGCCAGGTAGTGTGAGAAAGTCAAGCCCAACTCTGCAAAGTGGGTGGACCCGAGCTCTGTGAAGTGCTGGAATTTGCTGGCCCCACTTTATTAGTAAGTTACACCAGGAAAAGCAGGCCCTCAGAGTCCTGATGAGAAGACCCTCTTCTACATTCTCTTACCTGTGATCCCTAGCTGCCCTGTAGGGGTCCTCCAAGCTTGTATAGTGGCTCGGATGTCTGAGTGCATCATATGGCCATTGTCACAGAATGGGGTCCAGGCAGATGCAATAGGCTGGTGGGAACTTCTCTGATCTTAATTAGACTTATTTCAGACCTACTGATGCAGCACAGGTGTTTTGGAGGGCTAAATCCTAACAATGGTATGAAAAGCATGTGGAGAACCTCCAATGTATACCATGCCCCATTTTCCATTTACTACTAAACTCCTCTTGTGCACCCAGATTGGTGTGCACATGAGCAGAGAACTAGGCGCACCCACATACACATACTCTGGGGATTAAGTCAGGTGTTTTCTGAGTCTTCAGGCACTGAAATGGTGACAGACATGAATATTGTGAATTACTCTTTAGAGAGGTTTTCAGGAAAGGAGGCAGAATTCTTCTAGGTGGTCAGTGAATGCCACTGAGATTTTAGGTTGCAGCTTGGCAGTTTAATCTGTTTCTAAGAAGGTCCTTCAACTGCATTCCTCTTCTTGTTTCCCAGCCCCTTGTCTGTTCTCACCTTTGTGATGGCTACCTGAAAATCCAACTTTACTGTCCCCCAATAACTCCTTTCCTTCTCCTTGTTCCTTCTACACAAAATGAAGAGATTTCTGTCTGGTTCCCATTGAACCTCCAGAATTTGATGTATATAAATATGTGTAGCAATACTGATGTATGTTGTGTGTGTTCCCTCTACTCATGTATGTTACAGCCTTGGTCCTCATGACTCATATTAATGTTGGGAAAATACAGGAGAACTTGGCTTCCCTGAGACGTTCCCTAACCAATTTTGGATTGGTTAAGTGTGTGCAATTTTACATACATGTGGCTGTGCAGTGCTTGTGCATGCAGACTTGGACATGTTTCTAAGGATGGAACAGGAGAAATCAATGGGAGAAAGCTTAAACACGACACAGGTGGAAGCAGGTCACACTGTTTATGGCTTGTTTAAGCTTCACATTGTGAATTTGTTTTTGTGCTGCCTTCTCAAGATACTGTAGTGCTATGGCCATTACTGTTGTGGGTTTTAGTTATATGTTACATTTCTTTGTGCGTCTGCAGTGTCCTGATGTTTTACTTTCCCTGCTCTCTCTTTCTCTCTTTTCTCGCCGCCTCCATGGTGGACACCTGTTTCCTCTACTTAACTGGACCTTCATTTCTGTAGGTAGAAGTAAAGGTAGTGATCATTTTATTTTTATTATTATAACAATCAATCTGCCCTCTGAAATATTCATGTATCCAAGGTGAATTGTTGATTTTGATGAATACAGTACAGATGATAAGTTAGTGCTTTTAAGAATGACTAAAAACAATAAATAACAAGCCAAAGCTATCATCCATTCCCCTTCAGGATGGGGAGTGAATTTCACGTTGGACGGGTGGGGATGGCTCTGAGTTGGCCCACCTCCTGCTAAGTCCAGGAGGAGTTGTGTCCATTATGGTGTGCTATTTCTAGAAGGGATGGGGACTCTGACAGTGCTTTGCAGTGTGGGCTAGACACATTTTACCTAACGCAGGGTATGCTACAACCCCCTCCCAATAAATGTGTGGAGGGAACAGGGGGATGTGAAATGACATACCACTGTTTCTATTACTTGGGGATACTATTAGTGAGGGAAGGATGATCAATAAGAAAGGGAAGAGGATAAGTGAATTGCTTGACCTTTTATTTAATAAGAAATTTGGGGGATATTTATTTTGTGCCTATATTTTGGGGAGTAGAGATTTTTGGATGGTGGGGGCGATGGTCTAAGAATGGTAGGACTGGAGGTGCATTACACTGTAAGGAGAAAGTGGAGAAAGAGATAATGGGGGATTTGAACTCACAAAGTCCACCTTTGCCAGGGAGTTGGGGAAAAGGAGAGGCACTGAGCAGGTGGGCTGCTTCAGTGCTCCGATGTGCTTTCCAGTGCTTCACATCTCTGGGCAGCACAGCTCACTCATCCATTCCTAATCAAAGCTGTCGGAGACCTGAGCCCAGAGCACCTGGCTTGCCAGCTCCAATTGGATTAGCAGTTCAGGAGTGAAGGGAGAAGTTAATTGATGAATTATAAATACATATCTACACTGGGCTGACAAGTTATTGGAAATGCCGATCTGATGACTAGTCTGTGAACTGGCCATCTCTCATTTGAGTTTCATGCCTTTGCAGTTTTTAAAAATGTTATGTGTGGTTACCTTGGAAGCTGTTCAGCCCTTTCTCTTTAGGGGTTGGTTGATTACCTGTCCTGTTTATGCTAATCACAGGTGGGTTCATTCTCAGAAATCTGCCATGGGGACCCCTCTCCCGTTATGAGCTTGGTACCTTTCGAAAGGAGCTGGAAAAGGGCATGAGGAAGAGCAATAATGATTGAAAGTGTGTGTCTGGCTTAACACCCACTTCTCTTACTCTACTCAACCAGAGGCTGCCAGGGGTCTCCTCCTGGGGAAAGCCACCAATTTGGGTTCAGGACTCAACCTTCCTGAAGCATGTGGCATTGTGTCACATGTCCTTCCTCCTGTGGCTTCCATGAGAGAACATTAGAGTCAGTCTCCCTTTCTTTCTCCCCTACTTACCCCCATCTCTCTCTTTGTATTTACCTAGTCACCTAAAACATCCCCTAAGATAGGTGTGCTTAGTGTTCAGAGGTTTAGTACTTCAGTATCTTATTTTCCTTTACTGGCCACTGCTAAGATCGATTATTTCTCATGTGCCTTTCATTGTGCTATGTGCTGTGGCTGCTTATCACACCAGGTCTTCACACCCGTTGTGTGCAATAGGTGATGGCATTAACCTTGTTTCATGGATAGGATAAGTAAAACAAGGCTGAGAGAGTTTGGTAACTGAAATCAGATGATGACTAAGTGGAAGTGAAACCCAGAATCTGAGCCCCTAACCACCACTCTATACAGCCTCCCTTGGATTCAAGGAGGGTGTCAGTGGCACTGACTCATCTCAAGTTCCAGCCTGTACTTTGCATTCTTGGTAACATAGGTCCATATAAATGTCCCACCAGGACTGTCACTTCAGTATGTCTTAAGTAAACCTTCTCACCATCTGGCCACAGACTAGCTTCCCTATTTTTTAATGGTGCCCTCATCCTCCTTATCACTTGAGCCGAAACCCAGGAATTACTTTCTGTCCTTCACCTTCCTGAACTTTCCTATTACCCTGTGACGGGTGACAGAGCTGTTGAGATTCTCACATGAATGTCTCTTGCATCTCTACCCACACACAAGTTCAGGTTCCAGCTAGCTCTTCTTAGATTATTGCCCTTGTTAATTAGTCTCCTGTGTCTATTCTCTTCTAGTCGATCCAGTAACTGAG